TGCAGCATGAAGGCTACCACTAGAACAGTAATTATAAGTGTGGCTGTCTCAAAAAGTTGAAAATTCAAATCCATAGGCTGTCCCATGATCCACCCAACAACTACACAAAAGGGAACCTGCACTCATAACAACAATAATATTAGGCTCAGGGGATTGATAATTCAAAGAGGGGAATTAAAACAAACAATTTGAATTGTCCTCAAATCTGAAAGTCCTCTAGAATACATGTTTGGCTTGCTACCTACCCCAAACATAGCTATCTGTGTTGACGAACCAATTGCCACTCCCAAAGATATGTCCTACAGAAGAGATTTAAGTTTTAAGAATAATTAATTGTGTTCAGTTGCAATATGAAATCAACAGAATAGGCACTTACAAGCTTATCTCTCATTGCAAACATAATAGCACCCGCATGCTCTGCCGCATTCCCAACTATTGGGAGTAGTATAACACTAATAAATGACATTGGCATTTTCATCTCAATAGATGCTCCCTGAAAACTCAACCATATATGCTCTAAGCACAAATATTCAATAAGAGTGCAGAAAGACAATTTTTTCCATTGTTCAGCTAAATAAAAGAGGCTGCATGCAATGGATGAGAAGAAATGCAACAAATAAAATGTAAATAAGCAAGTTGGAGAGATTTATTGCAGGTACCTTGGTCATCATCTCATTATAATATGCATAGAATGTATTCACAGTAATTTGTTACACAAAAGACGTTGAGATATATTAACAAAGAAAATATTACCTCAATGGCATCAACCAAGTATTCTGAGAGGATTGAAATCCATGCTGTTAAAATAGACAGCCATATTATTGATTCCCATTTTGTTATCTCAGGAGCTTCTTCATCGTCTGAATCCACCCGTTCACTCAGACACTCTCCCTGAGTAATGCCAGTTATTATAGAAACCATAAATAACGCTTGGGAAATGAAGTGAAACTACAAGTAATTTTCAAAAGTATATGAAGAAAGTATCCTCTGTGGATGTAGACAATATGAAGTAAATTCTTCTGTCCTCTGTTCTTTTCTCTTGCTATTTTCACTACTCATTTAATATTTTCCACTGCACAACACTAGCTTTCTAATTATATCACTGCTCCCAAATTATATAACAATAGTTTTCTCCAGAGTGATGATACTAACCTGATCAAGTGGATCATATAGATTCCGCTGGCTCCTCAGCTGAAAATATAGATAGGCAGCATAAGCTACAAGCATGACACAGCTACTAAATCTTGACAAAGCCAATTCAGACTTCCCAAAATGCAACTCAGTGTGTGTAGCATGAAGTACAGCAGGGAATAGTAGGCCCATGACTGCCATCAGTAGCAATCCAGAGTTCACTGAAGCAACTGCCTATCAATAAACAATTTAGGCATCTTTGTCAAACAAGTAGTTAAGGATATCAAAGAAAGAACAACTTAACCATTTTCACCTTGGTTTAATACATCAAATTTGATCAAAGTGTTGACATACCTTGCTAAAGACTTGTTCCCTCTTAGTAACCACAAGTCCCCCACAGAAAAACGCACAACCAAGCACCAGTAACATATTTGACAGAATTGAACCTAGTAATGACTGTTGAACAACACGAATCATGCCATTTCTTAATGCATAAATTGATATTATCAATTCTGTTGCATTTCCAAATGTAGCGTTTAGAAGTCCTCCAACTGCAAAGCACATCTCAGGGCATTCAGAGAAAATAATATGAAGAATATGTTTACTTCAACTGAGAAAACTCCATTAACAAATTAACTGCTGTTACTATTTCTAATGCTTTTGATTTTTTTTTTCTTTTCTGAGTCTTTGGACATATTCTATATTTGTAAATGGTGAATTCATAAAGCTTAAAAAAGTAGAGAATTCTGGGCGGGGGGTGAATAAAAAAGTTCAAAAAAATACGAACTTTAAGAAAAACTTCAACAATCAACATCTGGCAAAATTTAAATTTTTGAATGTAAAGAATGAAAAGAACATTACTTGTGGGTCCAGTATAGAAAGCCAGCTGCCTGCATAAAGAGTAAGCTTAAGCTGCATTAGGAACTCATCAAATCATGTAATTAATCACTAAACACAATGAGTTTTCAAGTCTAGTACATGTCCAGATTTCAAATTTATCTAATTTTGATAGTCTAAGACATTGAAACACATCTAAACTATAAGAAATTCTCCAATTTGGTTACCTGTTCAAAAGGGTTAACAGGATATGTAAATTCAAATAATTGGATGATTCCACATGACACATGTATTCTCCGGAAAAGCACTTAAATAAACAAAGAATCAGATTATATATAGAAACTCACTCTGTAGCAAAGCCGAGACGCTCAGCCAATGGTATGATCCCCAACAAGTTCAAAAGAAAAACCCAACTCTGTAATGCCCTCAAAAGTTTAATTTAAATAAGCAAAGCATATAATTTGTTTATATATATATATATATATATATATGATTGTATAACAGAACAGCGCAAAACAAACACAAAACACTCACATGATTTCCAGAAGTTTTATCTACAACAATCGCAATGGGGCCAAAAATCATGAGTATATTAAGTTTTGTAGAGAATATAACGACCTTGATGCTCTCAACAAAACCACCCATATTGTTGCCCTTTAGATATAAAGATTCATTGATATCATCTAAACCACCTTGAGATAATGATCTGTTTTTAAATGGATGTTTCTTTCTTGCAGGACTCTCCATGGCCTCATCTTCAACCTCAAGCACTGCTCTTTCTTGCATAAGTGACCCCATCTACACAAACAATCAACATCCTTTTATCAAAAAACAATATTTACATAACATAAATAAAATAAAATAAAAAACAAAAAACAATTCAATACCCTTTTTTTTAATCAAAAATCAATAATTACATAACATTGAATACGAATGCTAGAAAAAAAGGATATATAATATTCAAGACGGGATGAAAAGAAGATTAAAAAGAAACAAACCTCAACATGGGAATGACTATGAGTTAGTTCTGTATTATTGCTTGTGGTATCCATGTTGTTGTTGCAGACTGATTAGACCAAAACAGAAGCAAAAATTCCATGTCCAAGCACGAGCATTACTGCTCAGTCATGTTCTCCACAATGAAAGATTGATAAATTATTCACACAATCATCCAAGAATCGTGGAATATAATATATTCTTTGAAGGAAGTTTCAAGGAAAGTATGTTAGAGAAATAAGAGCGGGATGCAAAGAAAGTGTGCGCGTAATTGGAAGTCAAATGGTGGGTGGTTCTGGCATTGAATAAGTAAAGTCTAAACAAAGAAAAGAAAGATTAGAGACAGAACGCGGGTATTGGTTAAAAATGTTTTGTTAATGGGCAAGCATTAACTGTAAAGGGCTGATATGGAGGGGCTTAAAAACGAGAAAAGTAAGTAATGGAAATTCAACAATAGCCACTCGCATGCGCTGTTATCGCCTTCAGTTCTCTTCTTTCTTTCTATTTTCAGACTGAAAACGTGTTGCTGGCCATGACTTTGTGTCTCTGTAATTTCTTTTCTATTTCTACCGGAGAAATAGATGAGAGAAAAATAAAATGGTCTCCATTAAGTCTTGAACCTTACATTTAGGATTGTACTTTTAATGAAACATCCAATTCTAACCCACCATCTCTCCTTTCTCTCAACTACCAACTGTTATTTAAAAGATAAAATATTATTATATTCATGGATTATATATCACGCAGCTCAAACATTCTCTCCTTCTTCGTTGAAGAGGAAACTATGCGTCGTTAGATAAAATCGCAATGTAAATATAAAACAAAACTTTAAAGTAAAATCACAACTAAAGTTCATATTTTAAAAATTATCAAATCAATTAGACATAGAATAATGCTCTATCTTCGTTTAATACTTTGAGTAAACGATTTTTTCACCCATAGACTTGTAAAATAATATTTTATTATCTAAATTTATATTTCGTATCTGATTCCAGTATCGTTGCAATCTCATATTACCACTGTTCTCTTTTCCGATCATCACTCATCAAAATCCTTCAAACCCTACTCTTGTAGACCATGTCAATTGTCGACAATCGAGCGATTAAGGTTTGTACAGTCATCTCTCCTAAGTCAAATTTTGATCAATCATAACCACCAAAATCTAACATTCCACTATCAAAAGATTTGTTAATCTCCTTTCTTCAAAAGCTCTAACTACCTGGATCGAGTTTGCTCTTTATTCACCACTGGAATATAAATTTAGATAGTAGATTAGTATTTTAAAAATATATGGGTGAAAAAGTATCATTAAGCCATTATTTGGGTGGGAAAAAGTCGTTAACTCTTTAGTACTCAATAAACTATGATTGAATTAATGTTGTGCTTCAGACTCTAGTTAGTAAATTCGCGAATTATTTGCGAATTATACGCCCATCGATATAATTCGCGAACAGCTGTATTTTATAAGCCCAACCATATTATTCGCGAATTATATGCCTCAACCGTATTATTCGCGAATTATTCTCGTATCCGAATTTTTGCCGAATTTTTATAAACGTATTTTTCACCATTTTTCGTATCTTACCCGTAAAATTCCCGTACCATTTTTTTGCCGTACCCGTATATTTGAAATGTTATATAGATTTTAACCAAGTGGCCTATGAAAAGTGCTAAAACTAGGATTGATATTGCCATATTTTTCAAAACGTATTATTGACAATGTGTCGTATTAAACATGTATATACCCGTATTGTATTTTTTTTGTATCCGAATTTTATGGCCGAATTTTTACAAACATATTTTTTACCATCTGTCATATCATACTCGTAAAATTCTCGTACCATTTTTTTGCCGTACCTGTATTTACTAACTAAGCTTCACACAAAGAACCGGCTAATTCAAATTTGGAAAACCCATATAGATGGGAGATAAGCTCATGGGCCATGGCCCAAGAAACATTTCTTTTACCCAAATTTCAACCCAAGCACACACACACAGAGACGGATCGCACAATTGTGTCTAAGAGAAGAGAAGAAATGAGAACCAAAACGCGAGGTGGCAGAGCTCGTCTCTCTAAATTGTCTTCACCAACTCTACCTCCAACCGCCAAAACCTGCTCACTTGTTTTTCCCACTCTCAAACTGGTACTCTCTCTCTTTCTAACTATTCTTTTTTTTTTTTTTTTTGGGTTACGTTTGTGTCTCTGCAAGCATTCCGGTAATAGTCGCGAAACGACGTCGTTTCATCTCCCAATAAAACGAGTGGGAGAGAAAACTGTACTTGTGGATTTGTAATGCTTGGTTTTTTATAATTATTTTTCAATTATTGGTGATAGAAATGAAATTCTTTTGATTTTTTTACATTAGGAACTTCAAATCGTGACGTGTTGTGTACGTTGTGGTAAAGTTACCGAGATTTTTATTCTCTGTTGATAGGTCTTTAGTTTATCAGTTTTGTTAATTAAATGACTAGCTTTTTGAATTATTTGGATATTTAAACAGGATGAAGCAAATGGAAACAATGATGATATTAATACGGCTTCAGCTTTTAGTGATATTGGGACTGATAATCTAGTAGGAATGCCTGGTGGTCTAGGTTTCAGTGGAGAGTTTATGGAAATGGATTGGTCAGATGGAGAGAGTTGTATTATATGTGATAAAAGTGGCAGGAATTTGTTGGTTTGTAGTGAAATTGGCTGCGCACTTGCCCTTCATGAGAACTGCATGGAATCTGGACCTAAATTTGATGATGTAGGGAACTTTTACTGCCCTTATTGTTGGTATAAGCGTGAAATGGTGAGGACTCAAGAGTTGAGGAAGAAAGCTATGGAAGCAAAGAGAGCGTTGCTGCATTTTATTGATTCGAAAATGGATGGTGATGATAAAGGGAAGAAGAATGGTGGAAGAGATAAAGAGGAGGAGCTGAATGTTTCTCCTCCTGTTGGAGAGAAAAACTTTGGTGATTGTGAGGATAGGAAGGATGATAATCAACTTGAGAGTCAATTTGTGGAAGTCGAGGATGATCAAGAAAATAATGAGGACACTGCAAAATTAGTTGACTCCTGTGATCAATGTAAGACAGCTGTTGAACACCAAGGTGAACCTCTTTCAGATGATCAAAGTATGAAGAAATCACCGGGGGTCAAGTCACCTGTGAATATCACAAATAAAGAAGGATCCAGTAAGGAAAATTTATCTGAAAGTCATGAGTTTGAAGTTTTAGAAGATGAAGAAGAAATACGAGTGGAGGATTCAGGACAAGTTGATGATAGTGGAAACGAAAGGACTGTTGAAGATCCACCACAAACAGAGCCCTGTATTGCTTCCAGAGTACAAGAAAATGCTGCGGATGGTCCACATCAGGAAGAAGGAAGAGAAATACGTGTATCTTGTTCTGTAAAGCTAAAGCGAGGAAGAATGGAGGATGAAGAGAAAATTCTCCCGGAAACATCAGGAGCTGAAATGTCTGATTCTGATGCACAGACACTCTTAATGCGTCAGAGGCGTGTTGGACAAAAAAGTAAGAAGAAAGCGCATCAGAATGTTGATGCACCAAAGAAACGATCCTCCCGACTAAATGCCACTCCAAAGAAAATTGCTAGGACTCACAATGAGAAAGTAACTGCCTCAAAAGAGCCTAGTCTACAAAAAGCAGCCGCTAAGAAATTGTGAGTCTTCATGTACATATGGCTAATTTATTCTCTGATAAAGTTTCATGTTGGAAATGTCATAGTTTTGTTATAATAGGCATTAGTTGAGTGGTTGAATTGTTTTTGTTACATAATTCGAAATTAATTTTCCTTTTATGTTGCAGCACAAGCCAGATGTTTTGTAATGAGAAGCGTAAGAGACTACACTGGACGACTGAAGAAGAAGAAATGCTCAGGGTATGGACTTATTGACATAGCCTTCCTCCCTTTTCTAAACTTCTTGCTATTAGATTTTCTTAGGTAAAATATTGTGTATGGGAAATTTTTGTTCCCTGAACTATTTCCGAAACACAGATGTGCTGGTTGTGATAGGTTTTATTTCAGCAACTACATGAGGATATAAATCTATATAACACGAGTCTCTTAGTGGATAAGTACCTGTGTGTGCACCCCATCGGCTTTCAGATAAATCAGTATTTTTTTTATTTTCTAAAATGTTCTTTACATCCATTCGATTGCTTTGGTTAGTTCTAAACTTTATAAATTACAGGTTCAAAATTAACAGCTTCTGTTTAATGAATTACTTACAGGAACATAATTTGGCATATATTTTATGTGTTTTCATGTTTTTAAATGTGAAGTACAGGGTCAAATTCCAAAAAGTTAAATTGTTGTTTTAATGGGGTGTTTAATACTTAGGATTGAGTCAGAAGATGAAATTTCCATTATCTGATTTGCCGAGTTGTTGCCATCTATTCTTGTACTGCAGGAAGGAGTGCAGAAATTTTCAACTAAAGTGAACAAAAATCTACCTTGGAGAAAAATTTTGGAATTCGGTCGCCATGTTTTTGATCCAACTCGTAATCCAGCTGATCTCAAGGATAAATGGAGGAACATCATGGCCAAAGAGTCCTCAACTGTCAACAGGAGCTAATGTTGATTACATTGGTGATTGGACTCAACAGGAAGAAGGTTTATCAAATATAGCTGCGAATTGCATTTTGGCCCCAAAAGAATGTGGTAAGCGGAGTTAGAAATACCATCATCGATGTAGTCTTAAGAGGCTATTTGAGGACCCTGACTGAACAATTCAAGGCTGTTTTACCCTCGAACATAATCAAGATCTAAAATGTACAACGCAATGAAGAAAGAAAGCAATAGAATATCAGCTCTTTGCTAACCAGTTCATTACCTGAAGTAAATCCAAATGTCCGCTAGTACTGCCTTTCTGAGGCAGGTATACCCAGTAAAATTCGAAAGTATATTATATTATGTTGCAATTAAAACTCTGTATCAGGCTTCTTAGACATACTTAAAGAAACAAAATTTTGAAATGGAAATAAACCACTAAGAAATTGTCTTGAAAGCAGCCTGTTTTAGTAAATGTGTTTTGTGTTGTCTTTCTCTCTGCTGACGGGAACTCTAGTCAGCCGGAGCCTGAGGATTGTTCGTATAATTATCAATACTCCAAACCCGAGGAATCGCATGGACACGGCCCAAATAGTTGAGGCGAAGTGCAAGAATCAGTATATGCTAAATCTGTGTGGATAAATTTTCAATCCTGGAGCATTTCCTATCTGTAATTCACAGCTTTATCAATAAAGTTTATTATAAAATATGAACATTTATAAAATAAATGTTTTGTTTGTAAATTACAATTATTCGTTTCTTAAAAGATAACATCCAATCAAGTATGTGTTGTAGCTTATTTCTTTTGTCGGTGTACTACCAATGAAAATTGAAAAGTTGTGAATTTTTGTTTTGTCAAACTTATTATTTTAACCTTTGTGCTTTGCTTGCAGTTGCAGTTGCAGCCTACATCTTATTAACAATGAGTTCATGGCCTCTACTAACTTGTTTAAGGTAAGCTCTTTGGAATGTCTTTTCAATGGTTGACTCACCGAGTCTTCAAACCACAATCCCACCCTGTCCCCGCCCAAATCAAGCCTATCTTTTAAATTTTCAATCCAATGCCGTGTTTTAAGTGTTGTGATATACAGCAAACCAAACACGTCATTGTTGGCTTCTTTTTGACATTTTGTAACGGCGATATGATTACAAGAGGTTTATATTTTTGACTATTTATTGTTTCAAAATGAATGGTGCAAAGAATTAAAGAATTGTCAAATAAATATCTCAATCGAAGTGGTTCTCTTTTTCCAATTGAGACTTGTTGAATGGTAGATGCGGTCAAATAAATACAGCACAAGAAGCATTAAATTCAACTGGGTGGGGATTGGTTACGTCTTTATATATGTATGTCATTGAGTCATGCATTTGATAAGATATTGAACCAACTTAGCAATGAAAGTGTTCTCTAAGAGTGTTCCTGTTTGCGTTTTGCTTGTAGCCTACATCGTATTAACAATGACTTCATGGCCTCTACAAACAGAAGCAAAAATTCCAGAATTCGCAGCTATCCAAGGTACAAATAGCTTCATTTTTTCTGATTTACATGATGGGATATAGCTTTTAACTCACATAATGTTGCAGTTAAAACTCTGTATCAGGTTTTCTTTGACATACTTGAAGAAACCATATTTTGAAAAGGAACAGAACCTGTCTGTTTCAGTAAATGTATGTGTTTTGTGTTCCAGTTGTTAACTTTTCACTCTGTTCTCGTGTTTGTCTCTGCTGACAGGAAGTCTAATCCGCCGGAGTCTGAGGCCAGTTCCTGTAACTCTTAGTAGTCCTAGTAAGAATGGACTGCGTCAACAGTTTGCTCCGTTGTCACCTGGTTTAAAATAATGACTCAGTATATACCGCATCTGTCTTGGATAAATTTGCATCCTGGAGCATTGTCTATCTCTAATTCATGTATTTATCTATAAAATTCGTCCAACGTTTGATATTAATTAATAAAATACATATGCTTGTTGCAATTCCTTCTCTTACATTATTAATCGTCATATAAATATGTTTCTCTTATTAGTTATCATCAAATTAGGTTGGCAAGAAACTTGTTTACACATCCTAATCAATTGACAGTTCGTTTTAGGAAAAACAGTTAACCCGCTGGATTGAATTCGTGGATGATGACTGATGCAAAGAATTTATGTAGAACCTGACGGAAATGAATTTAGCAGTACAATTAAGGGCACCATGATAATGGGAGTAGCTGAACTCATAAACCAAAGGAAACTGCTGGATTGTTCAAAGTTCAGAAAAACTAAAAAACTTTTTCTGGCATGTTCAAAGTTTTGAAAATAGAAATACAGTTGTTCTTAATAGTAACTACAATAGCTATCATGCCGCCAAGGAAATTATCGACTTAGAGAACTCGAAGCGTAAAATTTGACTTTCTTCCTTCTGAGTTCACAATGTTGTTTACTTTTCAAGTTTGAGGCATTCCCATGGTGGATAATCAAATATAATTTAATACTTCTCATTCGTTTTTTTTGGCATAGAAAATGCCAGGTTGCCGAATTTTTCCGGTATCCAAGGTTCAAATCTTGACAAAAACTTGGGGTGATGCATTTATTGTAGCATATTTAGAATTTGAAATTATTCTGCAAATTCAAATTAAATGGAACAGAAAAGAATTACCAAACGACTCACCTTTGTTTATTTATTTTTTGCTCCTAAATTTCTCTTAATTAACCATGCCTTTGCCCTTGACACTCAAGAGGCAGAAAGTTTACTCCATCAAAGTATGACAGATGGTCCAATACGTCGGAGCCTATAAATATATGATTGAGTAAACTACATGTTACCACCCAAGGTTTGACGAAATCCCAAGTTAGTATGCCAAGTTCCATTTATTCCATATTCCCACCCTTAAAGTAACGGGAAATGGCTAGATATAACGGCTCAGGGGTAAATTGGTCATTTCACAGAGGAGGCGCACATTAGCAGACCGCAACCCTTGATAAAGTTCTGGCACACGTTAGCCAACCTCACCGCCGATGTTTTTCGCCCTTTTCCGACTATTCTTCCACCCAAAATCACTCTTGTCACCACCATTCGAACCCTTATCCTCCCCTCTACAAAATCGTACCCTTAACAACCCCTTATCACTCACCGATCGCCAGCCACGATAGCCGCCACATGCGGCTGGTTTTCGTCGATCTCCACCGGCGAATGACCACTAAACGGTTGCTGGGACATAGGGGTTTTGTAGATTAGGAGATGCTGGTTGTAGTGGTGACGTCGAATTAGATTTTCATCGTCGGAATCGACCGGAATCCGACGAAGAATGACAAAAACCTAACCCTGACGGCGCCGTCGATTGGAGAGGTCAATGAGTCGGGAATCAGAGGGGTTTTGGATGATGGATGATGGGGAAGCTGATGGAGGTGAGAGGGGTTTCGCCATCATCGAAAACAGCCCAGATCCAATGAAAATCGAGACGGTGCACAGTCACTGAGGGTGTAATTGAAGTAATTTCAAAACAAGATGGTTAATTTTATAATTTTAGTAATTTAGGGGCTAAAATATAATTTATTAATTTAGGGTTAAGGGCATTATGGTAATTACACCCTCACTACCCCAAAAAATGTTAACAATGTTATTTTAGGGGTGGGAATATGGAATAAATGGAACTTGGCATACCAACTTGGGATTTCGTCAAACCTTGGGTGGGAACATGTCGTTTACTCTATATGATTCCTGAAAGCGACAGAAGTTCGAGCCATGGACAAATTAAGGGATGCACCCATCGGAAAAAACAGGGTTAAAGTACTAATTAGCAATAACAAACAAAGTTGAGGGTATTACATGTCTTAAAAATCTGCTCTTTTAGAACATTGTCTTTGCATTACTAATAAAATGACACATATATATAACTTATACAGCACGCAAACAACTAAATTTCAAGTCAAATCTTTTTGGAATATTTTAAATAGTTGACTGACCAAGTCTTCAAAGTTCAAATTCAAACAACTATCACATCACATGCGCACAAATGAAGTGCGATCCATTTAGTGACTTCTATTTGACTTTGTACAATGCTGAAAGGATTACAAGAGGCTAAATTTTGCATTTTTTTTCAACATGAACATTTGACTATTTATTGATTAACGAATAGTTAAGATTGTGATTTGAGCTCTCATGAATTTTTAAAAACTTTATAATACAGCTCTTGACATTGTGGTTAAGATGTGCTTCCATTTTTCTACAGTCACCTAACTTAGCATTAATATTTCAATCACCATAGAGTAATTTGATGATTAAAGAGTAAAAGGGTCCAACATGATTCTTAAGTTTGAGTTCTCTTAAACACTAATAGAAGTGGTTATTGAAGGGATTTACATAATCGCGTGCAAACTGGTGGAGAGTTCTTGATCATAAAAAAAAAAAAAAATATATATATATATATATATTGATTATTTCAACTAGGATGGCATTAATTTTGTCTTTAAATATATCACTTGACACATGCACTTGATAACCTATTCAGAGAACTAGGCAATGAAACGGATTGTGAGTGTTCCTGTTTGTGCTTTGCTTGTAGCCTACATCGTATTGACATTGAATTCATGGCCTCTACCAACAGAATCAAGAATTCCAGAGTTCGCAGCTATCCAAGGTTCAAATCATTCTTCTGATTTACGTGATGGGTTACAGCTTTTAACACACATACCATGTATATAATCACTCCAATCTTGGGCTGTATCGGACTTTCTTTGACATACTTGAAGAAACCCAATCTTGAAATGGAACAGAACCGCTTAGAGATTTCTAAGAGTGAAGCCTGTTTCAGTAAATGTGCTTTGTGTTTCAATATCTAACTCATCACTCCAATCTCGTGTTTGTAACAGGAAGTCTTGTTCGCCGGAGTCTGAGGCCGGCTCCTATAACTAATAGGAGTCCTAGTACGAATGGAGTGCATCAACAATTTGCACCCGCATCACCTGTGAACGAAATAGAGACAACAACAGGAACAAAATATAATAATAAAACAAATCAAACAGTAAACAAAGAAAATAACACACGCGATTTATCCTGGTTCACTCAATATGGGCTACATCCAGCTGAGTCAATATTATTGCAATATGTCTCACCTCTCTCGTTTACAATGAATGAATTGCTCTCACATACATAACAAGAGAAAAATATGTTTATATACTAGGTTTAAGAGACTAAACATAGTTTTACAATGATTCCTATTCCTAAGCCCAACACAATAAGGAATTAGTAACTTAAAAGAAATCATACAACGGTTATACATAGAAAAGCCCAAAACCGCCTACGGGCTCGGGGGCGCTGCCCCCACGACCCCCGCCTGCTCACCGGGGAGCGGGGTACCCGACCGCTAACCTGGCAGTAGGACCCCCGATTGCGTCTCCGTTACCCATTAATACTAAAATAGTCGACAACTCCAACAACCTGGTCTAATTAGTTGACGCCGAGTACAAGAATCAATATATGCTGCATCTGTCTGGAAAAATTTGCATCCTGGAGCATTGTCTATCTCAAATTATGTTTTTCATCAATAAAATTCCTTCCAAAATGAATGTGTTTTTTGCAATTGCTAGGCTAGTTATCATCACATCAAGCATGCATGCGTTGCAGTGGCTTCTATGGCAGCTTGAGCTTCTTTCCTAATGGTGGCGTACCAAGGGTTGTAAAATTTTGTTTTGCCAAACTTGTTATTGTACCCCAATTATCCTAAACCTTCGTGTGAGTACAATTTTTACCCGTCCTCTTATATACTTACGTCTTACAATAAATTCACCATTTAAGTTAGCTGGTTTATTAATTATAACGAATCAAGCTCTAGTCTCAGGAATACTCACAGGTTGGCCAAATTTTGTATATACTTAGTAACCAAATGTCCATGCGCTGAAGAAAAAACAGTAAACCTGATAGATTAAATTTCTGAAATAGAAGAGGAATGAAAAAAGAACTTATGTAGTCACATTAATGAATTTAACAAATGTAATTACAAACTGTAATCAAGGGCACCAAAAAGATGGGTAACTAAATACATAAAACCAAAGGTAACTGCCGGCTCGTTCTAAGTTTTGTATATTCAAGCTGTCCTTTTGACTTGGACAAATAAAGCTTAAATTTAATAAACTGGAAAAATATAAAGTGGAATGAAAGCATTCTCCATGGTGGATCCTCTCTGGTTGCTATCCTTATATAAAGAGTTCGCTTATTTCTAGTAAAATGTTTGAACTGTAATCAGACAGAAATTAACAGTGACAGATTCTCATTCATTTTTTTAGAATAGAAATGTCCAGTTGCCAAAGGAATGCTGCTGTATCAGCTTTACTTGTTGCCTACATTGTTTTACAATCAATCTCCTCCTCTCATGGGCAGAGGATAAATTTTGAAAAGTTGATTACAAATTACTAATTCCACTTAAATACTTTCTACACCTTTTTTTTGTTTTTTGGTTCAATTCATCTAGTCTTGTCAAGTCAATATTTTCCTCCCTGGGCCTTTTTTTATTGGACTTTACTTAAAGTTAACTAGCTGCTTTCTTAGTTAACCCCTGTAAAGTTTCCATTGGGCTGAGCTCATCGTTTTTGCCCAATTACAGCAGCAAATCCAGCTCCTACAGGGTAAATCCTACAGCATCATGTGTCTTCTCTGCATCCGGCAAACTCAACACGAAACTGAAGCAGTTGGCCTTTCTTTTCTTTTATCTTATTATTAATTTAGCGTTTGAACTTTCTTTGGTCATGCCTTTTCTTGAACTCTTAATTGCAGAAAGTTAAGCTAATAAAAAATATGACAGAAAGTCCCGCCCGCCTGAATCTGAGGCCACTTCTTGTAAGCCAGGATACTCCAGTAAAAGCTTTGCCGAAGCGAGTGGTGGTACTTGAAAAGAAAATCATGGACAAGCTTTTTACTTTTTACATGCATCGAAGGAGATCTGGCATTCATCAGTTTGACACTTATGTTTCAGTTTTCTTGTATTAGTAGAGTTCCAGAACTCCAGCAAGCTACGACGTACCAGTCTGAAACTAAAGCATTTTTAAATTTTGATTGATTTTGTAGTGGTAGAAGCAAGTGTTTGAGTTTGTATAATAAATTTCTTTCTCAGAATTGCACTTCACTGGGATTATGTTTGAAGATGTCTGATAATTTTTCCTTCACTAAGCTACATGGTGAATACTTACGAACTAATAATAACGGTTGATATTGAGACGACATCATACCATGTTTAGCAAAACACTGTCGGGTTGCAAATGTCAAATTTATGATGCTCCTAATAAACCCTATACATAACCCCATCTCCTCATTATCAAATACACCAGAAGCAGGCCTGTACACAAATTTATCAATCTTTTAGTACGTCTTAACATGAGTAACACATTTAAATCGAAATAAATGGAAACGCATGGCCAAACTCCATTTAATATAATTTTCCACATAAAATCATTAATAATGTGCATGCATAGTATTTGTGAAACCATGGAACGAACGTTTACAAAGAGAAATAAATGTAGCAGATGTGTCCTCAGCAAAATCCCATCATACATAAAATCATCTCCATGAAGCTGCACTTGAAGCAGATCACCTCACATGCCATGTTGATAATTAATGACAGATGATGGATACAAATTAGTATGTAACTCTCACACCATTAAGACCAAAAATGCAAAAAAAAAAACTATATATGAACCTTTAGTAAACAGTACTGAAATAACGGTGTCTTTTGTATGATGCTAAGATCACCTCTAACATAAATTGGTTTGGATATTGAGCTTCTGTGATCCTATATGTTGATGTTGGATTTTGACACCAATTATTCGCACGTGAGCAATGCCAAGCAGGCTTAGAAGTCACACACGATAAGAGAGAATTTAATATAAAAAAAAAGGGTGAAAGACGATGTTTAAAGTGGTTTGGATGCTCAAAAAAGAATCTTACGTCCACTGATATTGTATTAAGGAGAGTAAGGTCAAATCGCGTTCAGCGAGCTAAGTTACAGCTTAGAGAATACAAGAGATAGATAGATAGAGAGAGAGAGAGAGAGAGAGAGAAAGCAAGCTATTCTAGAGTGAAATTAGCCAATCCCGTAAATGAGAGAGGAGTCCTCTATTTATAGTGGGATGAATCAAGGTAATGATTACTAAATCTGTAAATGGGTGGGTACCGTGTAAATCCTTCTCTGCGTCTCATTGTTCACCTGCCCGAGTGATTTCCTCGACTTGTGCAGGGATTGGACACGTGGACGATTTCCAACCATTTGCTAACCTGGCATTCACCTATTGCACTGATAGGGGCATGCCACTCACGTCATCATGTGACGTGGCTGCGTCTGAACGGTCGTAGAACATTCCTAAGTTCTGAACACGCCACACTGACAAGACTCCGTGTCGGCCCTACTTTTTCAGGC